CAAGACAGAAATACACCAACAGTTTGAGGCCGTCTACACTGGGCGTGACAAAGCGACCGTTGCAAATCATTTTGTCAGTACTAGGGGTGTGCGATATTGACAAAAAATAATATCTCAATATTTTCTGTGATTTTATCGATAAAAATAATTAGACGATATTTTGCTGAGTGTGTTATTGTGCTGATATCTTAAGGACTACCGTGGACAGCTGACTCCTAAAGTTTTTGATATTCTTCATATTCTGTGTGGTCAGTTCCCAGCAGTGATAGAAATTAATATTTTCCAATAAGTTTAAATTGATTTTTAACTTTTATGGGTATTCTTACCTTTATGACTCGCTTGGGATATATTTGTAGCAAAAGCCAAAAATACATTGTATGGATCAAATTTATAAATTTTTCTTTTGTGCCAAAAATCATTAGGATATTAAGTAAAGATCATGTTCCATGAAGATATTTTGTAAATTACCTACCGTAAATATATCAAAACTTAATTTTTGATTAGTAATATGCATTGCTGAGAACTTCATTTGGACAACTTTAAAGGTGATTTTGTCAATATTTAGATTTTTTTTTTGCACCCTCAGATTCCAGATTTTCAAATAGTTGTATGTCAGCCAAATATTGTCGAATTTTCGAAAATTGACCCTTATGACTGGTTTTGTGGTTCAGGGTCACATTTATGTGAAAGGTGTTAGATCCTAAATGGAGACTCATCCCAAAAAGAAAATTCTGTCATCCTTTACTCACCCTCATGTCATCATCTGAGTTTCTTCTATGAAATATATTTCTGAAATTTTGACAATAGAACTCAATGGTAACCAAAACTGTTTGGTTGCGATTCTTCAAGTTTCTTCAATCTTCTTTTGTGTTTTGTAGAAGAAAAAAAGTTGAGGCTGAGTAAGTGACAAGAGAATGTCTTTATTGGGGGGTAAACTATCCTATTAAGTTTTACACCCCAAAATATGAGTGGAAAATCTGTTTAAAATCATGTCCACTCAACATGAGAGAAATACTCAAACCAGTAACCTAATAAAAGCTGCTGATTTTACATGAAGTGGCCACCATTTTGATATCACACGACTGAATACTAGCTGAAATTACTTATTTTATCCCATCTGATGAAGAACTCAAAGCAAATGATTTCCTACACATTATCTCCAAAACCAGTGTTTTGGTACAAAGTTCACCATATATGAAACATGCCAGAATAATGTAGTCACAAGGGCCTTAAGTGTGATGTTCTCCCGCTTCTCCTGCTCGCTACCTGCCTCCACAATCTCATTCCTTGTTATCTGTGAAGCTCATGAGCCTTCAGCGAGCCAGCGTGCTAATTGCAGAAAATGCCAGTTGCAACACCTCCTCGATGTGGTGAGAGCTGCAAGAAATGAAGGACCATGGTTCATAACGATTGTGATTTTGTCTCTTCGAACCCTGAACCTGTAGACCACAGAAGTGTGAAGCCTTTATCATGTGAGCACATTCTTGTCATGCATGACAAACAAACTGCCGAGTACGTAGACTTAAATGTGCCGTTGCGCATGTAACGGTGAGGTGAGTTTGAACTGTTGTTTAAAGGATTGAGAATCCCTTTCTACTGCCAAACAGAAGGAATAAAAGGGAGAAAGGAGAAAAAAGGTCCGATTCCCAGCCTGAGTTTGGTGTGTGTGTGTGTGTGTGTGTGTGTACGTGTGTGAGGGGGAGTCGGAGGGGGGAGGTCAGGAAGCACATTTGTATGCATTTCCTCTCATAACAGGAAGTGCCTGACAGCTTCCCCTTCACAATGGCTTCGCTTCTGCTTCCCGCCTCCAGTGCATTTTTCCCCTGGGGAGTTCCTCTAGAGGACAGAGACAGGGAGGATGAATGTCCATTTGTCACCATCTGCCCCTGCACCGTGATCCGTGCGACCCACGCACCCCGAAATCTCACCGCTCACGCTCCATGTTATATGAATCATTATGGTGAAGTCTCACAGTAGGGGTTGTATTGACAATAGACATGTTTACCCAACACAAATTCGACTCTGTTTCCTTTCCGAACAGCTTATATTTAAATGTTAAAAGATGTTAGGAGATGCATTTGTGCTCTGTTTCTTCTAAACTACACCGACAGTAACAAAATATGCGGTATTTAAGCACTGCTTTCAAAACCTTACCGAGCGTC